TCCATATTTACAGATTACTCCTTCCGACTAAAACATATTACGTTTATATATGGAGGGAGTTGTTACCCAAAGAACGGCGATCATGTCGTCTTCATCGAGCTTCTCGTGGCCGTCCAACGAGAGGAGCACGTCAAGGAAGTCGCCATTGTCCTGCTCGCGGCTCGGCCCCTGGAGGCGGTGCTCGGCGATGATGCTGGTCACCAGACTGCGGATGCGCGGCACGAGGGCGGCGCATCGCTTCTTCACGTTGGCGGGGTCGTAGAACTGCACCAGCCACGGGAGGTGATCAGACCAGTTGAAGGCGCCCAGGAGATCGAAGCCTTCCCGCACCATGGCCTTCAACTCCTCTGCCTCCTGCTCGCCCCCCGGTACCGACACCTCATAACGCCGCCCGAAGACGCTGCCCATGATGTTGTTCAGGGCGGCGTTCTGTAGGTGCGGGCGGAGGCGGACGCAGCCAGCCAGACGCTGCTCGGCGGCGATGGCGGACAACATGGCGGAACAATCGGCCTGGCGGCCGGGTTCGTGGGCGGCGACGCGGCGGGGGGAGAAGAGGTGGGCGGAGGCGACGCGGCGAAGGAGGCGCCAGTAGGAGCCGCTGGGAGCGAAGCCGATGGCGCGGGCGAACATGAGCTCGCGGGCAGAGCGTTTGAGAGGGCGATCGGAGAAGGCCGGGTGTGAGAGGATCTCGCGGGCCACGGCCGGGTCGGAGGAGACAACGGCGGGGGTGGATCCGATGGAGAAGGCCATGAGGGGCTTGGCACCGGCGGCGGCGGAGAGCTCTGCGAGGGCGCGGTGGGGGAGGGAGCGGACGAGGGAGAAGAGGGAGCCGAAAACGGGGAGGCCGCGGGGGCCAGGTATAGGAACGGTACCACGGCGGGCCCGGCCGTGAGACCAAGCGCGGCCTCCGGGGGACAGGACCCAGGCGATCAGGCCGAAGGAGACGAAAGCAATGAAGAGGCTGAGCAAGAGCAGGGGGAGGTCGCAGTGCAGCGTATCGACGCCGAAGAAGGCAGGAAGGGTGAACACCCACCAGTTCGAGTCAGTAGTAGTGCGCGTACTGAGAGCCATGAGTTCTTATCTCTCTCTTTACGAGAGAAGCAGCAAGAGGGATGGATGGAAGAGACCAGCAGGCTTAGAGAGAAGCCAAGTGATATGAGGCAAGTAAGAAGAGGGGAGGTCGGTCTTTATAGGGAGCGCAAATTCTACGCAGGGTTCCTCCGAAGATCCTCACCACCCATCAGCTGATTTACTTCCACATCTCAAGGCGTTTTGAAGGTATATTAATATGATGATTGATGCATAACTTTCTTTCGGTGATTCCTAATTCTCAGTGTTTTAACACCAATATTAGGAAACAAAGTCTATACGAAAACTGGATTGGAAATGTTGGAGTTGGTCTGCAATAAACCATCTAAGCATCAGTGGTAATCTAACCATACTATATCAAAAGAATGGGAAGACAACACACTCATCTAAGTTAAGCTTGATAAAGAGTTTAAGATATTAAAAACCTTGAGATGGGAAGAACCTTCTTCATCTACAAATAAGAACGCAGGGATATATGCTATTGGTACGAATTAAACACGCACAGCTAACTAACAATGCTACTAGAGCTTGAGAACCTCAATACATTACTGCTAGTTATAATGTGTCTTGAAGGGACTTGTTGGAGTTTTAACAGGGGAACAACTGGTGATTCAACATTGCCAAAAGAATGAGCTTGAAGGCTTAGGAACAGCATCCTTGCAGCAAATACGTTCAACCTGTGGATGCTAGAATCTTCATACATATCAGATGCAAGAACTGAATTCAGTTCTAATGATTGACTTTGCTTTGTATCAGAAAGATTGGACTCTGTAGTGGTACTGAACTAATACAACGAAGCGAAAAAGATTGATTCAAACGCATAGCTATTAAATAAGAAGTTAGGTTTACGGCTTTTGACTGGTGACCTGCAAGCGGGGTAGAAGACGATCCCATAGATTCTCAGCAGACGATGGCGAGCTCCAAGGCAAACGGCTGGGGTTGCTTTGTGCTCAAGTAACCCATCGAAGTGCGAGCAATGCAATTTCCCGGTGTTACATTTGAACGTGAGAGAGAGAGAGAGAGAGAGATTGTATTGTCTTCAATAGCTGCATACGTACAAGCTTGGTGGGGTGGATACAGCTGGATGGTGTGATTCTGGACCAAAGTACATGGAACCTTCCATGAGACTGCTGGTAGAGTGTAGGGTGGGCTAAGCTGTAGCGTAGAGCTTTAGATTGTGGCCTCAGGCAGCGGTGGAAGGGCTGTTTGGTACTGCATGCATGCATAGTAGCACAAGGGTTTTGCTGTCTCTTTCTTGATCTCTGATGAACCAAACAAAACAATGTCAATGGCATGTGAATTGTGTATGTAGCCTGGAGCATGATGAACTGTAACTTGTCCTTTTTGATAGATTGTCTCCTGCTATTTCATGGACAACTTCATTGTAGAGAATCTAAAAAGTGCTCTCCATTTGAAAGAAGAAAGAAAGAAAGAGAGTGGCAGTGCATGATTCAGAAACTCTCTCTTGCTATTCGCTTACATTATTGCATAGCCTTTCCGAGTACTGAATGAGTTAATACTTGTCGAATTGGCAGTGATTGCCTTATGCTATGGTGAATGAGAGCATCAAACATTAAACTCTTTCTCAAGAGAACATATTACGCTTCAAATATTTTGTAATTGAAAACTCAGTTATAAATAATTATCTTGATGTGTGTGTGTTTCTTTGTAATTTTAACACAATATAATAAAACATTCAAGAGACTCTCAGTTGACTATGCAAGTTTCTTACCAAATTTCATTGTGCAAGAAATGTTTCTTGTCATTTTCTTTAACAAGGCAAGCAACAGCTTCACTTGCTTGCAGGTCTCGTGACTTAGCAACCAACAAGTTGAGAGTTAAATATAACCACTATGAGATCAAACTTGTTGACTAGATTAATTTCTAAGTGAAGGTGGCTTGAAGAAGCCTATAAATTTCTCTGCATGGTCTTTTTCTGCTCTTGCTGTAGAAGGCGAAGTCTGTTTTTTTTGGACCACATCCTACCTCTAATAAATAAACTAAAATGTTGGTTTTGAGACATAAAGCTTATGAATTCTGCTTTGGAAAGGTGTTTGAGGAAGAAAAAGAAACATCAATTGCATAAAATCATGGTTTGGGTCTCGAAGAGAGAATGGCTTGGACATTAGTTTCAGGATGAAAAATTATGGTTTAATGCTCATCCACCGGCAACTTGACAGTGAGGACGATGTTGCCGGAGGCGAGGACAGCGGTGGCGGAGGCATTGGCAAGGCTCACGCTGGAAGCAGTGAAAACGACGTTGCTAGAGTGAGAGAGCCAGGAGCTGGTCGATGGTGCCTAGCAAAAGGGTTCTTACGACCAAGTCCACAAAGAGGGTTGCCCAATGGTCCAGTGCGCGGAAACATATCAGGTCTAGAGTAGCGGTTCAATGAAGGGGTGCTAGCAGAGGTGGAAGGTGGGAGGTGAGAGGTGGGTGACTGCGGTGGCTTGAGTTTGTGCACACAGCAACGATCCACGCGGTGCTGTGCATGGCACAGTTATACGTATATGCAGAGGAGAGCGTTGGACCGCTCAGCATGCAAACTGTTGAGGGCACATGTGTCCCTTTCGATCTCCTCAAGTCTGCCTCATTGGCATCCCCTTCGATCTCCTCAAGTCTGCCTTGCTTGGGAATATGTCTATATCTTCTTAATGCTATGATATCATGATAAAATGATAGAATGAAGAGTGAAATTATAAAGGTAAAAAGAAAGCTCATTTCAATTAGTATTCTATTTATACATAATGAAATAGAGGATTTTTCTTAACTGAGCAGCGAGATTTCCTTATGTAGTCGAGGAAATCTCATCTGCTATGCAGTTGAGGAAATCTCTCATCTGCTATGCAATTGAGAAAATCTCTCTATTATCACCACTCTCAAGCTCACCAATCGACTATAATTCAAGAATAAAAAAAGGCAACCTCTTAATGTCCTATCCAATTTGATAAGTTAGAAGTTCTTCCTTTCTCCATTGCCTCGTTGTGTGGGGAATAGTCTGTGACCAAAAATAGGATTATTTTATATATATATATATATAGAGAGAGAGATTGCAAACTATTGAGTAACTAGTCAAACATAAACCCTCACATTTCATTCATGGATTTGCAGGCTAATTTCCATGAAAGACCAACAACATGTGTATGTGTGTGTGTGTTAGATGGCTACAGGATTTTTTTTTTAATGTATAAGACTATAAATCGTACTTAGATTTCCTTGAAGGTAAAGTCCAGAAGTTATGAAAGAATATTTCAGTGTCATATAAGTTTCCTAGATTTGGTTGTAGATCACAAGTTACTTCACACTAATAAGACAATGCTCTTAAGATTCTAAACAACTACCATAATTGGGATTCTAGGATCTTGAGTACAAATTTAATCCTTGGCATGCACAATATTAGATCCATATGCAATGTATCGTAAAATAAATCAGATTATTTTCTTTCACTTAGATTTGAAGTTGCAAGTTCACTACAGAAAGTACAAGGACTTTCTTTAGCTAGGGAGTCGAAACTAAGCATCGAACCTAACCATCATGAATTACTAGTTAAGAAGCACAAAAGTCTGTACATTGAACATTTACCTAGTTCCAATTATCTACTCCACACTATGATCAATGTATTGGTTTGATCTGTCTTCGGAGGTGACCCTCAGGAAAGTGCTGAGCAAGTACATAACTGAGACTTGAAACACAAGAATGCATTGGGGAGTGTGAGACAAACATAAAGAGATGATCACAAGATTGCCAAAAAAAAAAAAAGAGTAGGAATATGACATTAAAAGAAAAAAAAAGAAGAAGAACAATTTCCATCGGCCTTCATGGTAGTTGACTAGAAAATCCTCCAGTATTGTAATGTCTGAGCAAGTGTTTGTTCGTATACTAGACCATCATTCACGCTAGATCAATCACTCTTGAGGTCCGAGTATGATGTGAATGCGCACATACTTATTAGGATGGGGATTAGAAAAGCTGCTTGCTGATGATTCAACAACACATGGTGTGCATGATTCAAAAGGCACGACGACATCAAGAAGTTTTCTTTAGAATGGCTTTAGTACGGCATGCCTTGAGAGGGCAAACAACTATTTCTGATTCATTAAAAGATGCAAGTTACCAATCGCATAATGGGATTTAGTTCTAATCTTTGATCAATCCCTATGCAGAAGCCCGTAGTACAAAGTGTGTCAAAGCAACTGCACTAGGGAACTCTACAATGGGACGGACTCGAAACAACCGGTGGAGATCCATCGGAACTTCTAAGAAGACAAGTAACATCCAAACCAAAGTCAACAGGGCAGGCACAATACATCCAGACCTTCCCATAAAATAATGGAGCAGGCGAGCTGTCTCAAAGCTTGATCTCCTTTTAATACCATTCTCGTGGTGCTCCGAGGTCCTAAAGGGCATGCCAAGCTCAAGAAAAGAGCAAACAAACCGCCCTGGTTAGGCGAATCTTGTCCTTGACACAGCTCCCCATTCCTCTTTAGAGAAAAGATGTTGATGACCTCTGAGCGTACCAGTACAATGAAAAGAGTCCTGCACTGAGATCGGGGAAGTGTTGCGTGCTTTACGTAGAGATATAGAATCACCTTCACCGGCCCATGCGGCGATGAGCTCGGTGCAGGAAAGAAAGCAGCAGCTTCTGCGGCCAAACTGTCTGCAATATGACTCTCTCTCTCTCTCTCTCTCTCTCTCTCCTCCTC